AGAGGAGGGAGAAAATCTCTCAGCCACCACTCGAGTCTCACTGTTCTTGAGCAAGCATTTCTTTGACAGTATGTGCCAGTTACCTGAGGATCTTGTTACAGATTCTGACTCAGCAGGCCTGAGTGGGGCCCAGACTCCTGCATTTCTAACAAGCTTCTTGGTGATGTCTTGCTGCTGGGCCACGGGCCACACCACTGAGTAAAAGACAGGAAACTGAAGCTCAGAGATGCTAAATAATTTAACCCAAGCCACCCCATTCACCAGGGACAGAGGATTTGAAGTCAGGTCTAATTGACTCCAAAAGCCACGTTCTTTCCACCATAGCATCCATGACATCAGTCCTGGACACCATTTTCCAGGAGAAGCCTAGATCTGAATAAAAGAAGAATCCAGGATGGAATAAGCTCTGGAGCCCACGTCACAGGAGGAACAGTTGAAGAATGAGAAATGTGTGACAGACATGGCAACTGGCCCAAGCCTGGGAAGATATGTCCTGTGGAGGAGTCATACCAACAAGTCTGGATGGCCCCAGTAGGAGCAACTAGGTCAGGGAGGAGACATATGGATATATCAGTTTGGACTCCTGCAAAATGTTCTAATAGAGCTGTCCCAGAGTAGAACAGGTTTCCCAGGATGCAGAGGCCCCAGACTAGAAGCTCATGTCCCCCAGATGCCATCTTCCTGATTCTGACAGATTCATACACCAACCTTATTAGCCCTACCACAAAAAAGGCATCATTTGCTGTTATAAAAATAAATCTTAGACAAATCTTTCAATTCTAGCTATGGGCTCTCAGCGGGGAGGACTGTTTTCTTATTTTCCTTTGTTTTTAAGATGAATAAGTGTTAGATAAGCATCAAAGGCACATTAGAGGAAATGAAAACTTTTTCCTTGATATATTTAGGATTGAAATAAAATTCAAAAGATTAGCCATCCTTTTTCTCCTTCTGGAATTCAATCGCACCACCTAAAATCATCTTGGAAAATACTGCATCTAATGATCTAAACAGCCCTTTGATCGTGAGTTTCTGGACCCCTGCCTCCCTCCTCTAAAGCTAAATAGCCCTGGCTTCCTCAAGCCTTCTTTAAATGGTTTCAAGCCTTCTCATCAACCGGTTATTCTCCATGGATAAGTGCCGGTTTGCTTACTATGTGGCCTGAACAGCACCAAAGAGAACAGAGCTGTAATTGCACTGGGGGATTATCCTTCCATTAATGCAGTCCCAGGTCATGTCTGCTTTCCAGCAGCCCACTTCAGTGCTGAGGCTCACTGTGCTTTCTGAGGATGAGAATTGCTATGTGTGTCTTTTTTTTTTCTTCCCCAAGTAGTGTAGAGACACATCCTCCCTGGTTCAACCATGATCATTGGTTGCTTTCAGATGGACTGTATAACATTTATCCAATGAGGCAGTTTGGGATCAGTAGAAGGAACAGCTCTCTTACATTCAGGTTGTTCAAACAATAGACTAAACTGACCTAGTGTGGTACCGCCTTCCTACCCATGAGGTGTGCAAGCAGAATTCATCAGGGAGGTAATTCAGCAGCCAATGTTTGGTCTGCAGGTGACAAGAAGGCCTCCTACACTAAAATCCCCTGCTTCTGTAACACAACACCCAAAGACAGAGGGAAAACAAGCAAAGGTACGCCATGATAGAAGAATCCTGCTAGTGTTGTGCCTACTTTCTTTTTTTTTTTTTTTAAGATTTTATTTATTTATTCGAGAGAGAGGCAGAGACACAGGCAGAGGGAGAAGCAGTCTCCATGCAGGGAGCCTGATGTGGGACTCGATCCCAGGTCTCCGGGATCAGGCCCTGGGCTGAAGGCGGTGCTAAACCACTGAGCCACCTGGGCTCAGTGCCTACTTTCTGCCCAGGATGATCCACAGCAACATCTTGTGCCTACTTTCTGCCCGGGATGAACCACAGCATGAGAGGTTCTATCACAAATCACTTCCTTCTCCCAACCACCCTAGGAGGTGGGATGTCCCATTTTGCAAAGGCCAAAACTGGCTCAGACCAAATCATTTCTCTGAGTCCCTCCCCAGGCAGCTGGCAGAGCCAGGATGCCAAATTAGTTGTCTCTGATGCTATAGTCCAGGTTCATCCTATTCTATTCTGCAAGTCACAGGAAATGAGAAAGGCCAAAGGACATCAACTGATGGAAATCTGGAACGCAGTTCTGATTTAATGCAGGAAGTAAAAAAAAGACCACAGCTCTTTTTGATAAGGAGTCTTTTTTTTTTCATCTCTGTAAACACTTGCCATCAGTTAATAATTTTAAAATAGGAGGGATAACAAAACAAGGGGAAGAAATGAAAGAGAAGACACTTGAGAAGTAACTAAAGAACGGGGCAGGGTGGGGGGCAAATGTCAGCTGCCTGGGTGACAAACTAGCCTCTGATCAGGGAAACCACCAAGATTGAGCCCCACAGGGACAAAGGCATGTGCTTCTCAAACCACCTTGCTGGAGAAAGCATTCCTTGCTTGTTCAAGGGGGAAGCTGGAGAACTTCATTACTTACATCCTAAGAGCAGCCTGTCATGTTAACTGCTTGCGCCCCCTCCACCCAGGAATTCAGAACTCTAGGATGTTTTTTGTTTGTTTGTTTTTGTTTTTTATTTTTTGTTTTAGGATGTTTTTCATTTGCTCACAGGGTTATCGGAAATGGCCATGATGGATTTCACCAGCTTCTCAATAATTAATTCATACCTGGAGCTTGTCAAATAGCTACAGATCCCTTTAGATGCCATCTAACCACAGGTACACACACACACACACACACACACACACACACACACACACACAGGGCCTTCCCGGACGGGACACCTGGGTGGCTCAGTGGTTTAGCGCCTGCCTTCAGCCCAGGATGTGATCCTGGGTTCCTGGGATCGAGTCCCACATCGGGCTCCCTGCATGGATCCTGCTTCTCCCTCTGCCTATGTTTCTGCCCCTCTCTCTGTGTGTGTGTCTCTCATGAATAAATAAATAAAATATTTTTTAAAAATAAAAAAAATATATAAAACTGTTCAAGCAGAATTTCAAAGGAACTGGGGACAGTACACTCAGTGGTCACAAATGAGCATGCAGATGAAGTGACAAACGGGTCAAAGCTGTGACGAGAAAAAAAAAAAAAAAAAGCTGTGACGAGGACCTAGGGATACCATCAGCTACAGAGCCCATATGTTTCAAGCCACAGGAGGTGCATTTATGCCATCGTGTCTGCTTCTAACTACTAGATTAAAGATCATGAGGTATGGATTACACCTGCACGCTTTTTTGGAATTTGTGCAAAACTTCAGCAAGCACAATAGAGCCCCGGCCAGGAGGAAGACATTCAAAAACTTTATTTAAAGCACTCTTATATATAAGGAAAGGTCCGGAGCGAGATTGCTTGGAGCTTATGAATATTTATTACAATACATTCTTGAAAACAACCAAAAAATTAAGTACAGTATAAATAGGAAACAGATTTATGACTCAGTCATATGTTTACATTATGCAAATTATAGCTAAAGACCCACAACCAGGATGTTGTTAAATGCTGAAAAAAGGCAGTGGGGGTAAGCGCTTGCTGATATTTGGACATTTTCTTAAAATTGGCAAATGATATTTTGAGTTTTTCTAACAATCTGTTCAACGAGGAGTGCCTGTGGGCACATCTTGTCATTTTCACCAACCTGGTGGTAGAGTGCCAAATTCAAGGCAAAGGCACAGGCCTGGGGTTTTCACAGCCCCCTTTGCTCAGGAAACCAAGGCTCTGTTGGACAGATTTGGGAGTGGTCCTGAACCTGGACCTAAAAGGTCGCACACAGAGCTCAGCCACCCTCAGCCTTGGAGCAATGAAGAGGCTTTACCAACATGCCAAAAACTTCAAGACAGCTAGCTAAGCACACTCGTGTTTCCAGATTAACAAGAAAAGAAGCAAAAGCGACAGTCTTTGTGCTGAATAACTTTCTCTACTCAAGGATGTCACCTTGGGCTTTGTGACACCAATCAAGCAGAACATCCTCCAAGTACAAACCCAGGACAGACATGCACAGTGACAGGCAAAGATCTATCTCCAGGGCAGCTGGAGAACTGAAGGAAGCCCCCTTTGCAAATTGTAGCTAAAGAACTCTACCCCAAACTTTCACCAGATACCACATCATCTAAGGAGGGTTGACTGATGAAGGGTTGGTTTGGTTTGGTTTTTTTCATTTCTTACACGGAAGGAATATATAGTCATAGAAGGAAATCTATAAAAATCTATAAAACACAGAAAAAATATAATCAAGGAGAAAATTTCTAAAATAGAATTCAACTTAAATTGGGACTCCCCCCCTTGGACTCAAACACTTCCACAGTGCTTTGCTTACAGCTCCCTGATGCCCTGGGCACCAGGTGAAATGATGGGCTGGAACCCTCCTCCCCTCCCCATCTCAACTGCTGCCACGGCCAACAACCCCAGATCTCTGCCTCATATGCAATTCAGCACTCACTCCAAGGAGCTGAAATCACTCACAAATGGTCTCTTCATAATGCAGAGGAAGAATAAATGAGTTACAGATTACATAAACTTTCCAACCAGAAACAAAACCCCACCCAATCATCACCTTACAAAAATCCCCTGCCACGCACTAGCTGTGTGGCCCCGGAGCAAATTACTTGACCATCAGAGGCTTCATGCTTCATAGGGCAGTGGGATACTCCAACAAAAGGACTCCACCCTGTCCATGCAACCAGTACGTGTCATTAACAAGAACAGCAAGTGCTACCCTCAAAAGCGGCTTAGAATACAGTCATGGTGGGTGAGGGAGTGTCTAGTGTCTTGACACAAAAATCAACATGGGTGTCAGTAAACAAAAATAATTGCACCATCAGATGTCTAAAAGCTGAAAATAAATCATTTCTGCTTTGATATTCTAAGAGTACAACCATCATTTCCTACATATTTCATCCCATCAGTTGTAAGTGTTAAAATCAGAATCCTTGTTTTTTAAAATCCATGTATAACTACCAACCTGTCTTTGTGTCCTGTGGATTAACCAAGACTAATATTTTATGTTGAGGTTCATCACGGTGCACAGTGCAAAAGCAAACAGATGTAGCTTCAAGTTTAACCTGAAAAAATAATAAAATCGCCATTTTGTTCCAACATCAAAGTAAGGGCACAGGAAATTACTTACCAATTAATTAGCACAGTATTCACTGAAAGAACAGTGTTCCACAGAGGTTAATTTGACAGGATGGAGGCAATGTAAAACTGGAAACCTTACCCACTCTGAGCTAAACACAAGTGCGAAGTGACAAAAACCCGTCTTCTGTCTCCCACCCAGCAAGCCCTCCCCATCCCTCATTTACCTGTCCATCTAATCAAGGACTGATTAAACACCTACTCAGCTACTCTTCCAGCCTCTCCCTCCCATATGCTTCAGGCCCCATCAGACTTCCCTACCCCAAACCCCTTCAGAGCTCACCAACAAAAGCTGATGGCCACAGCCGCACCTCAGGTTTGCACCTGCCAGGCTGGCCTCAACTGTCCTCCTATGGCCATTCCATGGAAACAGCCTGAACCAGACTGTGTCTACCCCGGATGCCACTTGGGCTGCCTGCTGCCCTGCCTCAGGTCTATGCAAGCATTCTCAACAGAGAACCCCCTCTGGGCCCTACAGGCTCAGCTCTGGCTCTGAGGGCAGCCCAGAGGCAGAGATCCTCTGCTGTGAGAGAGATAAAGAGAGAGAGAGAGAGAGAGAGAGAGCTGGTGCCAGCTTGCTTACAAACAAGAGGAACACCAAAGAGTCTGTGGGGCTCCTAACACTGGGACTCTCTCCCAAGCACTGGTACCCTAACTCTCTTTGTAGCCATCCAGTGAACTGCCCCCAGCTCCCAAAGCAAAAGATCAACATGCTCCACTACAAAGTCTGTTTTGAAAACTGAGGAGAGTATAAGAAAAAGAAAAAAGAACGTGTCTGCTGAGCTAGGCCGGCAGGCTGCTGGTAAAAGTTTATAGCAGGCCTCCGTGGTTCCAGAGAACTGCTCCTTAACAAATTCTGAGAGCTGCAAACTTTTTGGTGCATGGCTCCACCCACCCATCCTCTCACCCCACCCCAGCGCCCTGTCTTCAAGTCACCTTAAGGAGAGTCTCCAGGCTGGCCCTCAGGCAGTAGTTATGTGAAACACAGTGCATCGCCCAGAGGGCTGTTATAGGCCATTAAAAACAACATGTAGGGGAACACCTGGCTGGCTCAGCAGGCGGAGCATGTGACTCTTGATCTCCGGTTGTGAGTTCAAGCCCCCACGTTGGGTGTAGAGATTACTTAAAAATAAAATCTTAAAAAAAAATGTACAAAGCACTGTATCGACATGGAAAGATGTTTATTACAGAAAGATGTTTATTATATTATATTCTGAGAGTGACCTGAATGTTTAAAAAAGCATATGCAGAAATAAAAATCAAATGGAAACATGTCAAAATGTTCACAGCAGTTAACTGTGAGGTTTTTTTTTTTTTTCATTTTCTCTGTCCCTGGCTATAGTTCGCAAATATTATCCAATAAGCATACGCTGGTTTATTATTAGAAGAAAAATAAATAAGTATTATTGTATTTTAAACGTAACAGGACAGGTTCAAGACTGGAAACAGTTCATTAAGGGCTTTTCAGAGAACCAGAGCAATGTGGTGTGAAATATTCTCAAACCACTTTCTCAACTTTCTTTTTTATTCGAAAAAAATTTCTCTTAAGATTCTAAAAGAAAAGTTAAATTTGCTAAAAGCTATGAGGAAGTCCAATACCACCCCAAATGAGACTACTTCAACTGCTAAGTGATAGGGAGCACCTACCATTTCTTAAGTAACTGCCAAAATGGTAGGAAAAAAATTGAAAACATTCTCGTGAAAATTTATTTTCTTCTAAGAGGGGAAGCAGATAGGTATAAAGATATTTCAACGTTTCTATCACATAAAAACAATTTAATTTTAAGAGCTGTCTTATTTTATTATGTTTTTGCTAATAACACTAAAATCATTTACTCAGTGAGCATATTTACATATTAGTTTTGGGTTTTTTTCTTAAGTAATGTAACCTCATAAATAAGTGTAAAATGAAAGCAGAGGACTCTGAGACTGCATCATAGAGTACTTCAGGGCTAAGTCTCCGGTTTCACCCGCTTCTCGGGTTACACCTACCTTCCCACATTCCCTCCCACCCTGCAGCCCATAGCTCCTGGCTCCCCCCAAAATTAGCAACCCCATCCCTAATGGAGAGCTTGCTTCCTTTTTCGGCTTAAATGACACTAGGGGGCGCTGAAAGCGTGTGCGTGCAGGGACCTCAGCTTGCAGATCAACAACGTAGAATCACCCAGGGGATGCTTCTAGGAGTTGGTTATGAACTAGCATCTTCAAATCTCAAGGAAGCCACAACTGTACAAGTTGCACAAGCCACTGTTCTAATTAACTTTGGAAAAACTTCAGTACGGTGAAATAAACCTCTACTAAGTTGGACAGACAGCAATGATATCTATCTAGTACAAGTAAAATCTTGTATGTAAACAAGAAAATCTTGTCTCTGCATAGATCCGACTCCAATCTGAAAGAAAGGTGGCTGATTGAGGTACAGCCCAAAACTCACATATTCTTTTTATTTACTGCACGGGGAAATGTAGTTCTTAAAAGTAACACAATTTTAAATTTTTACCCACAGTCTCACCATCCCAACAAATAAATGGTTTTCATTTCTCTCTGTTCTCTTCCAGGCCTTATTCAAAAGACTATCTTATCAGTGCTACAAATCACATGGCTATAACTAAATTCCAACTGACAAAACTTCATTCCAAAAATCACAAAATTTGGGGGCACCTGGTGGCTCAGTGGTTGAGCATCTGCCTTCAGCTTGGGTCATGACCCTGGGGTCCTGGGATCAAGTCCCACATCAGGCCCCCTGCAGGGAGCCTGTTTCCCACTCTGCCTGTGTCTCTGCCTCTCTCTGTCTCTCATGAATAAATAAAGTCTTTTTTAAAAATCACAAAATTTTAAAACTGAGCCAAAGCTTAGAGACCAAAGAGCAACCAAGTCTCTCATTTCACACATGGAAAAGCCAAGGTCCAACAAGGCATTACACACAGTGTCTCATTTCTTCCTTGTAACAACAGGACAAGGTAAGCTCTATCATATTTTTTTCCCAATAGGCTCCACATTCAGTGTGGGGCTTCAACTCACAACCCTGAGATCAAGAGTCAGATGCTCTATCGACTAAGCCACCTAGGCACCCCAATAAACTCTGATATTATTATCCCAATTTTAGATATGAGGAATGCCAAAACCAGAAAAGTTATGACACTCGCTAAAGGTCACACAGCTAGTAAGCAGTAGATGTGGGATTCATAGCAGACTGTCCTACTCACCACCTTGCATCACTGGACTGATTCTCAGGACTCCAGAGTCCCATTCTAGGATTCCATCTGCTCCTCAAGGTGGAATTATTCTAGTGTTCAAGAAGTTATTGGTTTTTTAAATCTATAATACTGTTTCTAGTACTAACATTCTACTTCCTAGTAAGTTAGTTCTTTACCAACAAGGAGGATCACACGTACCTGCTCCCCCGTGGGAAGAGAGAAAAACTCTACTGGGGGCCGCATTTCTTCCCTAAGTGTGGTATAGTAAGCCAGGGCTGCTTTCCAATGCCTTTCGGGGTCATCTTCCAAAATATCCACTGGATAAATGCCTGCTAAGGGAAAAAGACAGCAAGAAATGACATTAGTTTTACCCTTTTGTTAAAGAGGACTTCCCCTTATTTCTCCAAGTTGTTTTGTTTTTAAGCACACAAGGAACACTTGAAAAAGATTTTATTTATTTATTTATTTATTCATGAGAGATACAGAGAGAAGTAGAGACATAGGCAGAAAGAGAGAAACTGGCTCCCCACAGGGAGCCTTATGCAAGACTAGATTCCAGAACCCCAGGTTCATGACCTGAGCCAAAGGCAGATGCTCAACCATTGAGCCACTTGCCCTCAATTTTTTTTTTCAAATAAAAAAGTAGTTCTGGGGATGCCCGGGTGGTTCAGTGGTGGAGCATCTGCCTTAAGCTCAGGGGGGTAATCCTGGAGTCCTGGGATCAAGTCCTACCTCGGGCTTCCCGCATGGAGCCTGCTGCTCCCTCTGCCTATGTCTCTGCCTGTGCCTCTGCCTCTCTGTCTCTCTCTCTCATGAATAAATAAATAAAATGTTAAAAAAAAAAAAAAAAAGAAAGAAAGAAAAGGAAAGGCAGTTTTGCATCAGGTGCCAAAAGAAAATAGAAGACATTCCCAATGGCAGGGTTGGCAGCAGCCCCAGGAAGATAGGAAGTACCACCTGACCCACCCACCCACCCACCCCCTTAGAAGGCTACAGAAACTTGCTTGCATATGCCGGAACCACCAACTGGTTTTCCATGGGTCTTCCTGGAGGGAAGTCACAGCAGCCACGTGTACAGGCAGGTGCCTCGAGAGCCCACACTAGCTGCTTAGAACCTTGATGACTGACAAAATCCAGCTTGAGTTATTATTTTGCCAGCTGTGCAGATTGATAAGTGTTGCCCACCTCCTTGAGTTGGGCCTACTGTTCTGGAGAGTGCTGGATGTACAAGTCAGCAGGCCCTGTAAACACGTCCTACACCGCGGGCTATGGTACGGAATCATTAGCGAGTTTTCCCCTGGCTCTTCCTCACCCTGGTGGAGGAAAATTATATCCTCGAAGAATCAGACAAATTGATAGCATCCAATTCAGCTCGGAAGGAGCAGTTTTCCCCTGAGATGTTGGCAGCTTCAGGCTGGCGGGTCCCCAGGTGGGAGAGGGCTCTGGGGTCCCCGCCTTATCTGCCGATCCTGCCTCTGGTTCCGCTCTGGCCTCCTGTGGGGGAGGCTGTCGAAATGGCTGCCAGATCCTCCTCCTCCCCCTGCTCCTCTTCCTCCTCCAGCTCCTGCTCCTTATTCCTCCAACTCCTCTCCTCCCCCCCTCCGCCTGCTCCTCCTCCCCGTCCCCTCCTCCTGCTCCTCCTCCCCTCCCCTCCTCCTCCTCCTCGTTTCTCCTCCCCTCTCCTATTCCTCCTCCTCCTCCTGTTCCCCCTCCTCCTCTCTCCTATTCCTCCTCTGTTCCTCCTCCTCCCCTTTTTTTTTCCATGTAAACCTTTTGTTTTAATAAATAAGACATATTCATGGCTTAGGTTTTAAATCACATTTACAGATGAGGAACACTTCTAGGCCCAAACAGGTTAGTGGTGAAGCGACTACTGCTGGGAGGAATGCAAGGCCCCCATGCACTTTAAGCCTAAGAAGCAAAGACTTCATGTCAGAGAACACCGTACACATCACCTCTAGGCTCAAGAACTGGAAGACTGGAGGAAAAGCAGAGACTTGGTGAAGCTCCTGTGACCACCATCTGATATCCTTACCTTCACACTACAGAAGCCGACGAAAGTTGTGCTACTTTTAGATAAGCTAAAAAGGAGCTTTCCTGATTATATGAAGTGAAACTTTCTCTATTGTTACATTAGGATAAGGGCATTAGCTACACAGAGTATCCACTGACAAATACAGACTATGAGAACTGGGAAGAGGAAGCCACACAGATATCTCGTTTCTTCAAATGTCAGAAACTTCCACGCCACAGCAGGAGAGCAGTGGATGAACTCTACCTCTCCCAAAGGTTTAGTCCAAAAACTTCCTGTTGGCATTTGCACCAAATAAAGCTCCCCGTACTTATGGCATCATCTGCTGGGCTATGAGGTCCAGCCTCGCCTCTCTCTTTGCTTGTCCTTAGTCCGGAGGCTCAGCCTCTGGCCTCACCGTCTTCTGCTCAGCCCCCCTCCATCAGCCACCAATCAAAATAACCCAGCTGGGTTCCCTGGGGCCCAGGTCCAGCAGGATTCTGCACACTTCCCACCCCTTATATCACTGAGTTTGCTTACCCCTCGGTAAGCCAGATGAGGAAACTGAGGCCAAGAGCATGCTTGGCTAGTTAGTGGCAACAGCAGGCCATGAAGATCTGACCAATCTCAGAATCTGTGCAAAACACTCAGATTATGGGGCACCTGGGTGGCTCAGTGGTTGGGTGTCTGCCTTCAGCTCAGGTCATGAACCTGGGGTCCTGGGATGGAGTCCTGCATTGGGCTCCCCTACAGGGAGCCTGCTTCTCCCTCTGCCTATGTCTCTGCCTCTCTCTGTGTCTCTCATGAATAAATAAATAAAACTTAAAAAAAAAAACACTCATATTATGTTAGTGGCCCCATCAAAGTGGCCTCCTCCCCCCAGCCCTGAAGGCCATTTAGAATTCCAGGCCCCTTTCCGTACCCCCACAAGCACTCAACAGGCTCTCACACCCCTGCTCCCCACTCCTTCTATCTTGACATCCCCAAGGCCCATCCCAAACACCAGTGCTCCCAGAAGCCTTCCTGTGTAGCCCCCAAAGGCAAGGAAGGGCTAGGGGGTGGCCACGGAGTCCTATGTTCAAATTCCAGCTCATCTTCAGAGGGGGATGAATCCACCCTTTCTGGGCGCCTCCATCCCCCAGGGCCTCACACACACAGGAAATCGGTGGCCAAGAGAGGCAGCCTCACCCCACTCTCTGGCAACCCAGGAACTCAGAGCACTCCTCAGAGCACCTTGTGAGCACGCCTCTCTCCTCCCCCACCCTCCCTCAGAAGACCCCTCCCCAGGCTTTTCCTACACTGAGCACTTAGGAAATTTGGGTGGGTGGGTGGCCGGCTGGGCTCTCTGTTCAAATTGCTATTCATTTCTTCCAGACAGTCAAATGGCTTCCCGCAGCTATGAAAAAGGATGTGCACATTCACATAAATTAAGAAGATCAAACCGGAGGGACGTCTGGGTGGCTCAGTGGTTGAGCATCTGCCTTCAGCTCAGGTCATGATCCCGGGGTCCTGGGATCCAGTCCTGCATCAGGCTCCCTGCAGGGAGTCTGCTTCTCCCTCTCCCTGTGTCTCTGCCTCTCTCTGTGTGTCTCATGAATAATAAATAAAATTAAAAAAAAAAAAAAAAGGTCAAACTGGAAAGGAGGTTTGCTTCAACCCCAAAGCACTGGGCTCCTCTGGCATAACTGTCCCATGAAAGCAGCTGGAATAACCACATTTCCCTAACTGCCCCCAGGAGCTCCATCTCAGGAGCCAGTCAAGATCCCAGCACTTATAGCCCGTGCTGCTGGGCCCTTCTCAAGAGAGGAGAGATGCTTATCAGACCCAGGCCTCGAGGGCACTCCAATGAGATCCAGGGCTGCCAGGACAGCAGCCTCAATCAGGAGCCTCAGTTGGGCTCCTCTGAGAAGCCCAACTGGGCCCCCCTTGGGACAGGGCTTGGGGAGGACACCATGGCCTTCGGGGCTTTGGGAGTGGGGGCACCTCACCATGGCTACAGGGCCCAGAGAGGCTTGGGTGCTCCTGGGGGCACCCAGGGAGGCTCCTGCCTGGCTCCCCTGCAGGCTGCCACGGGTTACCTGGCATCAGTTCTGGTTGCATGTGGTCAGGAGAAATGCAATGAATGTGTTTTGCTCCTTCCACACCATGAAATCATTTCCCCTGCTGGTTCTGCTGGCTGAGGCTGTGAGACCCCCTCAGAGAACTCTGTGACAGTAACCCCAGGCCACCCTTGTACCTCCTGGCTCTACTGCCAGCTGGGCCCAGTGGCAGAGCCTCAAGCCCTGAAGGGAAGTTTCTTCTCAGCAGAGAGCCCACAAGAAGAATCAGGCCTGGGGGGGGTGGGGTTCAGAGCCCTGGATGGCACAGAATAACCCTCTGAGTAGAGGGCAGCTATAAACATCTCAACACTTACAAAATAACCCAGCACCCATGCTCCACCCCCCTTTAAAGTCTGCAAGCTGGGTGCAGACCCCACAGGACTTCCAAGGACTCCCAAGAAGAGTTCTGGGGCTGGCAAACCAGCCTCCTGGAAGGGAGCTGAATTCTTCAGCCCTTTGGGTTTTAATTAGTGCCCCTCCGCCTGGGGCAGGGGGTGTTGAACAGGAAACAGTGCAGGGTAGGGGGTGAGGGAATCCCTCATTAGAAAACCTCCTGCAGCTTCACTCTTACACCCAAAATGTTTGGGCTTGTTTTCTGGAAATCTGGTTGGGAATGAAAAAGGAAATACTTGAGGCAGAAGGAAGGCACATCCAAGGCCAGCTGGGAAGGGGACCCCTGCTCTTCTAGAGGAAGAAAGACCTCTCCCCAACTTGGCAGGATGATAGACTCCCTCCCCAGCCTAGGAAGTGCCTGTATACACACACACACACACACACACACACACACACACACACACAAGAGAAGAAGGAAGCCTCCCACTCCCCCACCCCCCCAACCACAAGGGCACACTTGGGCAGTGCCCAGGGGATTCCAGGAAGTAAACAAGTCTGGGGTGTTTTACGCACGCGCTCTGGAGCTGAGCTGGGTCGCCACACTCCCTTCACTGGTGATGGAAGGCAGGCTCTGGGCAGGGGCTTCCAGATGTGAAATGCTAACAGGCTTTAATGGCTCAAACTGAACAGGAAATATTTTTCCAAAGCCAAAAGAGTGTAATCTTTTCAGTACAATGTAAAATGCTTTTATGAAAAAGGCACACAGTTGAAATGATAATTCATTGCAGACTGTAAAGAAAATGAAATCCCTAAACAAGCCCCAAATTTAAGAATTCACTTTAAGCATCTGTTTGCTGTAGTCACTGGAACAACAACAAAGTGGTACCTC